CTCTGGTTCTCAGGCCTTCAGACCCAGACTATGATGTATACCATCATTCTCTGGTTCTCAGGCCTTCAGACCCAGACTATGATGTATACCATCGTTCTCTGGTTCTCAGGCCTTCAGACCCAGACTGTGATGTATACCGTCGTTCTCTGGTTCTCGGGGCTTCAACTGCACTGCCAGCTTTCCTAGGTCTCCATTTGTAGACAGCAAATTATGGGATTTCTCAGACTCCATAATTCCGTGACCAATACCTTATAATGAATCTTTTCCTAGATCTCTATCTATGTATCCAATCAATCAATCTATTAATATACATCTCCTATTGGTTCTGTTTCTCTGGAGAACCCTGACTAATCCAATAGCCAAGTGATAGCCTTGAAAGCTGAAAGACCCAGGTCCACACTTGTCAGGGAAGTTTCAGAGTCACCTGTCTTTGTGTAGACCATACTAGGTTAGACCTCAAGGATTTCTGTGGTCACCAGCATAGACCGAAGACAAGAGGCCTTTTCTTCTCTCCATTTTCTAGGCACCAGGAAAGATTCCAATTGATTCTGGAATCTGAGGCTGAAGTAGGATCCCCCAAACAAGACAGAGAGAATTTGTCAATCTCCCTAGCTAGTGGGGAGCTCAGAGTCATATTTAATTTGATTTAGAAAAATAAAGTATTTAATAATATGGTTATGTCCTGTACTCCATTCTAGTATGATACATACATTGATAATAACAAATATATAAACCACATTATCCAACTTCTGAAGGGTTATAGTGCTCTCATCCCTGTATTCTGCCCTGTTTATATGTTGCCCTTTGTGTACTAGTCTTATACATTATCAATTCCTTAAAAACATGAAGTAGCTTATTCATCATTGAATTCCAAGCTGTATCTATCATAGTGCCAAGCACACACCAGACATTCAATTACTCATTTTTTGAGCTGAAAAGAGTGGTTCAGAATTCAATATAAAAATAAATGAAGTTAAGGACATATTATCTTGTTCTAACATTTCTTAGAACTAATGGGTTTTTTTTCTACTTTTATATTGATTTAGATGAGAATATTCATTAAACTTTCTTTCAAAGTAAATAAATATGATCCTTTAAGCATTTTAATGAATATTTAGTCCCCAAAAAAATTTTTGGTAAATTCCTGTGATAGTATATAATTTTTCTTTAATAGAGTGAAATTTAAGCAAAATGAGAACAAAATTGTGGGAAATCGTAGCAGTGACAGCTTCTGGCATTTTTTGCTTTTTGCAGTTTCACTATAGACTTTTGCATCTTTATTGGAACTTTGCAGTGTGTGAGGACCCTTAATATGAGGAGAGATTATATGTGGAAAAGTAACATTATCTATTAATAGCACGAAATATAATTAGAGAGACAAAGTCATGAGTGGGGAACCAAAATTCTGTAAGCAGGCTTACCGTCACTTTTAGGCTATGTTTGTAAATGGCCTACTGAACTTGACCATGACTTAGCAAAATCAGTCAATGAGCATTTATTTGAGTCAGGTGACCAGCTCGGCTGCGGCACTGTGGCTCGGACCCAGAAACCAGGCTGCAGGGGCCACACTGATTGGTTTTGCCATACTGCCTTTTTCTTTCTTGGTTTGCACATAGAGATATGGTCTTCATGTCTTTATAGATGAACCAGACTTCCCACAGTAATTTGGACACAAACTAGAGTTTTCCCTTGCTCCTCTCTAATGTGCTGCAAGTACCTGGATCATCCACCCTTCCCTACATTAGCCCGACATCAATCCAGATCCATGACAGCCATACAACTGCCCAGCTCTAATCTGGAAAGGAAGCAGGGCAGATATTTTTAAATGTCATCCAAAGATACTATGGGTCCACCTGAAAGTCACAATATATTTAGCCTCTGCAACAAAAGACCAAAAAGAGAAAAAAGAGGGTAGGTGAGGGAATAAACAATAATGGCGTGGTACCTTATAGTTCTATTTTGTTCCCTTAATTGAAACTTTGTAATATCAGGAAGAGTGGAGGAAGTTGCTCAAAAGATTATGGGCTAGTACAAATACTTCTTTGCTAAATTTCTAAAGAAGGTTTCCATCAGATTGCACAGATACTATCTGCAAACCCTAAATCTGTAACTGCTCTGTGGTCTGTTGCAGCCCCTGTATCACTATGACTGGCTGTTTTGGCGGAAGTGCTGGTAGGTTTGGCCAGGATGCCCTGCCAGAACTGATTCGGTATCGTCCTGGCTCGCAGCCTTTTTTCCTCTGTTCTGTGTCTAAGTACACAACCCCAAACACCCAAACACTGTGTCATTTCATCATAAACACTTCAGATTTACTGCACCATTTACTAAATACATTTTCCCTTCTACTGAGAAAGTTCGTTTGAAAGTTAAATTTTAAGGAGTATTTTACTGAATTCCAATGGGAAAGGAGGCACAGTTCCTGGTGTTAAGCAGGCCCGTGTGAAATAAACAGCTCTGCTTTGCATAGAAAAATCTATTAGATCAAGAGAAAGTTGGGTTTTTAAGATTCAATCGTGGTATGCTGTATCATGTTTTTTACTCTGGGGGAAAAAAAAGCATTGACAGCCAACTATTTTAAACTAAAATAACTGCTTTTGCTTCTTCTATAGCTTGTTTTTTTGTAAAGTACAGTGACCAAGCATAGACAATAATGACTAAAGTGCTGACTTCAAATAAGATTGTTTTTGCAATTTTTAATTAAGCAATCTGTGCAAACATTTTTTTTTTTTCTCTTCAACATTAGGAGGAAAGAAAATGATCACACTTGGGGGCCTGGTGGAAAAACAGAAAATGCTTTCTCATTGCAACCAGATTTCAAAGCAGCGGAGTGCAGACAGGCAGAGCCCTCAGTATTCCTCAGGATCGCTTGATTGCAAGTCTCGCAAATAGGAATCAATTATATTTGGAGGCACACCTTGCAAGAGGAGCCTGCAGAAGGAGAGGCCACCTGGAGAGGACAAAAAGGAAAAAGGGAAAAGTCAAAACCGTCTAAGTGAAAAATCGCTGAAATAATACTTCTTGACTAGCTGCCTGAAAACGTGACTAATTACGTTCCTGTTAGTTACAAAGATTCATTCAGTCCCTACTTGGCAATCTTTTCTGGTTTTAGTACATTTAGAATTTAAAACACTTGGCCTCTAGAAGGAAAAGCAAGTTCCCAGCAGACCCGTGACAGTTTTTTTCCTCTACTGTTGTTCAATCTTGGTTGAAATTCCTAAGTAGTTAGAAAGTATTTATTGCTCTTTGAGAGGTTTTGTGATTCCTCGTGGATGATTTAAATGATCTGACTGAATGGCACAATAAACCCATACCATGTTATGGATCAGCGGGAAGATCTGTTTCTAATTTGTTAATGTGCTTTTTAATTAAGCACAAGAAGTTCTTATCCAAGCACATTGGAAAAGAAAAAAACTATTCCCTGTAACTTTGGCCATTTATACCTTGTCAAAAGGGCAAAAATTGAAAATATTTTGTTATTATAAAAATACTAAGACCGGTCCAGTATCTTCCGAAGGCGAGAGAAACACCTGCTAATGTTCCATACCTACCTTCTGAGTTTCTGAATTATATTTAAAAAATAAAAGTACCCTTCAAGAGAGAATCCATGAAACCACAAAAATTCATGGTCCTTTAGTGAAGTGCTTCACTACTCGCTAATAAATTCACGTTCAGACAAAACAGCATGCCATTTGAACATTCTTAAAACTCCTTTAATGCAAATCTGAGAAAGTCATTCTCCTTTTTTAAAAAAACCAACTCAAGTCACATATTGGTAGAAATGATGCCACTTATGTACATGTCCATTCCTTGATGCAAAGAATCCAGAATGCTGGGGTATCACTCATTTCCATCTACATTAAATGCTTTGACTCATGCTCTACTGCATTCAAACAACTTGCTTCATGTCAATAGGAGATTGCTGATGAATAAGTACTAGCTGTTAATTTCAAGATACTGAAATACAAGTTAAAACTACAAAGTTAGCGATTTCAAAGAGTCTATTTTCATTGGATTATGTAATGAAAATCATGCCATACTCTACAGGCTTGGTATGGCTTATGAGAGTCATAAGCTTCATATGCCAAAACCATATGAAAGCTTACCTTAGATGACAATATACATTCAAAAATCCTTACTGTGCAACAACTAAGGAAAAGAGAGAAAGAGGGAGAGAGAGAGAGAAGTTGTGAGCATTAATAAAGTGCTAACACCAAAGTTGAGTATTTGTTGGATGAAATTATGGTCACGATTATGATGAGGTGATGTCATTAATCCTTAGTCTTGTGAAAGATGTAGGAAAATAAAAGCACATGAAATGAAGGGTGGGGATCCAGTCACTTCAAAAGGATCATTAATATGTAAAACATTTATTAATAGGCACAACTGCTTTGCCTGAATTGGTGGCAAAGACAATCTGATTGAATAATGAATATTTATGGTAAGAGCTTCCAAACCATTAGCTTAAAACAAAAATCCTACAACATATATATATTGTGTTTTTCAACAAAAGAAAAACTTTGACAGTAGACAAAGTGTTAGTGTACATATATATATGTTGAAATTCTAAAAGGCGAAATTATCAAGTATAAATATTAGACTAGCGTATTCTACAATATTATATTATAAACTGAATATATATGACTGATCTAAAAAAACCACAAGGCTTAAACTTAGGCTACAAAGCTACTATATGTATAATCTATAAAACTTTAAGAAAAGAACCTTAATTTTTTCCTCTTTTGAAAGCTGATATTATCTCTGGAAATTCAGAAAGCAAATATTGTAAACTCAGGCATAGCTCTACATAAATTCTCTCATAGAGTTTATATAAGGTTGCCTACCCAGCCCCAAGGAACTCTTCATTTGCTCCCTCAAATGGGGGTGACTCATACATATATGACAGTATCATTTGTTGCTTAATACATTTTGTAATGGGGCCTAGAATTTTCTCTCCTTTTAAGTTCATAAACATATGAAATAATTTGGGTCCCCATAAAAATGTACAAAATGTCCAACAAATGGATGGGTTACAGATATTCTACTGGTGAATTTGTAATCAGAACATCTTAAATATGAAAGTTTCCAAATATTGGCTCTATTTTTGTATCCTCCATCAAAAACGCCCAGAGCATTTTTTTCTATAACTTAGCAAGTTTAAAATGTTCAGTTTTCTGAACTTCGTCACGAATCTAAGGAAAACTATGCTGTAAACTATTTTAAAGGAAGAACAACATATCTTTCTACATTTAAAAAATGAAAATATTAAAGAAATATTATTGATTCCCAAGTTGTGATAGTCTTATTATATAAAATAAGATCACCTTCAAAGGTAGCTTTCTGGTTTTATTTATGGCGACATATGGTACAGTACTTTGTTTTCTGACCAAAAAACTTAGTTTCTACATTACTTAACATCCTTGAATAATTTGGCCTTCCTTGTTCATGGCATAAACACTGTATGCCATGAGCTGCTAAGAAATACAATTAAAAGCAAATGAGAAAGTCAAGCTTTACATGCAAAGTGCATTTTCATGTAAGAGGAATGGAACGGAAAATAGAAATATCCAGTGGGATATGAACTTTTAAAACCTGTTGCTGCCCCTCCAGGAAGACTGGTTGTCCAGGGGTATTTAGTCCTTGATATATCACTGCAGAATTAGAATATTTGTACCGGTATTTATTGATTCTTAGTTGACATTCTTACCTTTTTTTTCACAGCTTAACTTGATTCAAGTTACCTATTGTCAGATAACAATCTGATGATAAACAATTTCAGCTTTACTTTTAGGACCAAAAGCTTTTATCAGTATATCACGATACTTCATTTTGAACTTACGTACTAGAATACATTACTTTTAATATTAAATTCAATTACTGTACAATTTACTATATGATGACTATAAAAATATATCATGTATATGCATAACATTATTCACTTTTAACGAAGGCCCCAAATATTGAGCAATTTACGAAAGCATTGTTTTATAGCATTAACAACATTCAGGTATTTTCAAAGCATGAATAAGTCGCACTGGTTTTTTGGTTTTTTTTGGGGGGGGATGTTGAAACAGAAGCATCAAGAATACCTCAGAACTAATAAGGCTAGAAGTTTAGAAACCAGATGATTTGCAACTGTGACCTTATTCATCATTTAAAGCTAACAAAGTAGCTAAAATAATAATAATGTTCATGTTTATGAGGACTATCTCAATAAGGTCTGAAATTTTCTAAGAATATTTTATGCTTTATATTTGTCAGGAAAAAAATAAATTTTTTCCTTTTAGTTATGAATCATAAGAGAAAAACAATGCTTTAAAAAGTTATAAAACGAAGTTATTTTCTTCGAGAAGTTTCTCTACCATATTTACACTAGATTTAGGACTAAAAGAATCTTTTGTAAAAACATAAATACCCCAAGAATTTACTATGATTTTCTAAAACAGATATTTATAAAGTCATCTTTCTGGCTTTTATCCCATAATTTCTTCATTATAGAGAGGTAGGAAAAATAAAGATTTTGGTTATCACAGAATGGCAATATAATACAGTTAAGAATGAAAGAAAACACATTAGGATCGTGTCACCTATTATCTCATAATGGTGACTCTTTGTTTGAAGGGATTTTCATGGTGTCCCAAAGCAGGTTCTGCTTGTAAAGAAAAACTTCAGCATAATAATGATAATCAATTAATATGAATATCGATTCAGATGGCAGCTCATGCTGAGACACTGCTATCACATAAATCCTTATGTGTTTTCTTGATTTACATTAGTCGTCACACTTCTGAAAACTAGTATAAAGGAAATATACATCTATAAATAAAATAAATAAAATAAATAAAAATTCTCTAATTAGAGATTTTTTAAAAAACTAGTTTTAATATGTGTATATTATATTCTATATGTGTAATATCAAACACTTCATTAGCAAACTTACCTATATAAATATTAGAAGTTTCACAAAATACTAAACTAATTAAAAACAGTGTGAATTCCTCAACTGCAGTTTCACTAGATGAGTTTTGACACTAGGCTTGTATTTATAGATGGACTATGTCACCAAAGTGACAGCCCCTTGACTCTATTCATTCTCACCATGCTGTACACAAACCAGCATGCCGTTGAAATTAATATTCCTTAAGTTAACAAAAATCACAAGACATAAAAATAAGTTGACTTAAATAACCAAGTAGCCTTCAACAAATGAGTGAATACAGAATGTAAAAATGTCTTCTTTCCCAAATTCCCTCCTTGCTTCTCTAGCCCCAGCCCCATCCCTGCCACAGCTGCAGCATTTTGTCAAACAATTTGGATTTTGCATTAAGAACAATAAAGAAATGATTTTCTTTAACTTTAGTCTATACAAGAAATCTTGGATATCATACCTTTCACCTCCAGTTTGCATTCTATCTCCACTTCCCCAAGGTCATTGACTGCTTTGCAGCAGTAAATGCCTCCATCATAGGGGCTAGGCTTACGAATCTCCAGGGTACAGACCCCCTGGTTGCTGAACATCCTGTATCTTGGGTCATCCACAATAGCAACTTTGTTTTTCATCCAGGTTATTTTAGGCTGAAGTTAAGATTGAAGAGAGTTAGGTCAAAATATATCTGTACTTAGCACACCAATAGACCATCAAAGTCAGTGACAGAGTTTTAAAGCATAGCTTAAAAAGAAAGCACATCTACCAAGAACAGACATCTACTTGAGCACTGTTTCTCTCAAATTAAATTCAACTCAGTACTTGGCAAAAATGTGAACGGGCAGTTCTGAAGAAGAAAGCCAGATTTGTTCAAAGGACAGTTCTAGGGCAATCTTCCCAAATGGATTCAGTTGCATTTGAATTTGATCTACTTGGGTACAAACTTAATCACAAGATGAATAAGTTCTGGGCATTTAATGTACAGCATGGGTGGGGATAGGCCTTTCTCCTAAACTCGGGACGAACCTCTCCTCATTCCCACCTGGATGTACCAACATCACTTCCAATTTAACATTCATTCATTCAGCATCTTCCTCCCACCCTCAGTCCAGCTCTTTCCTTTGACTTTCCTATTTCTGTTCAAGATATATACAGGAAAAAATACCACTGTTCACAATTTTTCCAAATTCTATGGCACTTTTCCTCGGCGCCACCCGGGGATATATATCTCCATGGGCAACATTCATTAATTCATTGTTCTTCTCAAGTGCAAACATGAAACGTTAAAATCTTTCTAAATCTCTTCAATCAGATGTGATATCTCCCTTCTTAGCACTCTGTGTGCCCTTATCAAAGCACATTTTATATTCTGTCTTGCATTATAGTGTAATTGTTATTTACTTTAACTTACTACAGAACTCTCAACATTACTACCTAATTTCCCAGGTGAAAAAAATATTACTTTCATCTCCTTACCTCTCAGTTCTTTTAAAAATAGGTGGTTTTCTTTTTCTTTAGAAGGTATCCCTTAGTTAGTAAAGACATATAAGCATGTTTTACTACTACATTTGCATAGTGTACCTAACTACACCAACATCCTCTACCCACTCCCTCATCCTGGAGAGACACAAATAGCAGCAGGAAGGTCTGTTTATATTATTACTTACAATTATAACATGGCAAATATAAAAGAGGGACTTTAAATTCAACTGATGTGGTAGAAAACATGGTACCTTAGGATTTCCTCTCACACTGCAGTTCAGGGTGGCATTGTAACCAGCTACAGCGTAGGTGTTAACCAAAGGCTGAGTAAACATGGGTGCCTCTGTGAAATCAAAGTCGTCATACACTGGATTTTTGTAGATTTTACCTTTAAAAAAAAACCATTAAAAATACGTTAAAAATGTGAAAATTGGCCTGAGAATGTATTATTCTTGGCATGCTTTACTTATGATTCAAACTTCTCTGAGCTTGGAAAACATGTAAAAACATGAGCGAATGCCACACGGCATATACTCTGAGGGGTACAAATGTATAGCCGATCACACATGGGACAGAAAGCCAGAGTGGTCATCTGAAACTAAAACAGATACGGAGAAGACTTTTGTGTGTTTCTATTTTGAACAGAAATGTGTTCTAATATGAAAAATCACAAGGACTGGCTTTAAGAAGGAGAGTGATTTATGATGCAGTAAAATGATAAAGACAGAGTTCAGTTTCTCCTTTCATTGCAGAGTGGGTCCTAGGTGTAGCTACACTAAAGGTCCCCAAGAATAAAAGTAACAAAACTCTGTAAGTAAATGTTTATTTTTTCCTATCACTGTGATTTTAGCCATTTATAGATCCACTGCCTAGAAGCCAAAATGAATTAAAGCTATATTTGTAAAAAATGCAATAATAATATAATTTCACTTAAAAACTTTTATCTGTAAAATTAAAATTTTACTTGAACATCGTTACCAAGATTTTACAATGTACATTTACCATTTTCTTATTCCCTTTCACCACATCTTTCCTTCTTTCAGTCTTCTCTGTCTAGTCACTGTCGACCAAGGTTTCTAAGTGGCAGTCCACTCCCCACTCACCGTCCTTGGCGATCACCGCACTCTCTTTAGTCATCGTCGCATCCTCACTGAGGCCGCACATGTTTTCAGCAAAGACCCGGAAATAATATTCATTCCCTATGACCAGTTCAGTAATGGTGGCATTGGTTCGGTGATAATGCTCAATGACAGTGAACCATTCCTAAAAGAAAAAATCATAATAATTAGACCGAAAAATAAATACACGTTTCCAGCTGTCAATTGGAATAAATAATGAGGATGCTGCATTCATAAAAAGAAAAAAACAGCACTAATTTTTATATTTGAGAGTAATAAAAATGCACATTTAATACTTTACAATTATTTACATTTGACTATGTAATTTAATTCATTTACACATTAGATTCAAATATCCTAGATGTCATCTACTACCTTTATATTTTCTTCATAACCAGTGTCTGTCATCTATGTATTTACCTGTCTACCTATTTGTCTATCTATCCATCTTTTGTAGAAAAAAAGTATAATTATAAAATTTTAGTGCCAACTTATTATGAGGCAGAGATGAAGGTAAATCACTAGAGAAAAATTAATAGTGTCCAGTAAATTTGCTTAATACCATTAACTCAGTGTCTTTCAGGTCTTTGCACAGATTCCTCTCTTCCCTACCTGTTCCCCCTGCCACACTGTGGTCACACTGTATCACCTTAATCTGCCTAATTTTTCCCCACAGCACTTACTACCTTGAATTATATTCTATATTTACTATTTTTCTTGTTTACTGTCTACCTCCCCCACGGGAATGAACACACCATGATATAAAATCCAACTTTTCTTCTCACTTCTTGTATTCCCAGAGCCTATTACAGTACCTGGCACATGGTAGGTTCTGTGCACAAAACAAGTGTTTATTGAATACTTAATGAATGAATGAATGAGCAGTCAAGTCTACATTAAAAATTTTTTCCAATTTTTTCCCCCATCATACCAAGAAATAATAGCAGGTTCCAAGTTTTCTACTTGCAACCAGTAGAAAACCACATGGCGTCACATATTTTTAGTACCATGAATGAAGAAAATACATACTTTGACAAAAAGACACTTTATTGTAAAAAGTATTTTCCTTGGAAATTTTAGGGGCCATCGTTATCTATGAATTTGGGGTATTTTAAAGACACCAGAAAAATGTGGCTATGCCTTCTTTTATTCCCAAAGGAATTGATGCCAACTTTTATTCTGACATTTATTATATTGTGTTATTTGGTTTTATGTCTTTCTTTTTGCCTAGACTGTGAGTGCCCCAAGAGCAGGAGCTTTTTAAAATATTTTGATTCAGCAACTACAACAGTGCTCAACACACAGGAAGAGAATGAAAACCTGAATGTTTTGGCACATGTAATGAAAACAATGCTTATGGAAGGTATGAATGACTATGGGAATTTAAGTGAGGAACAGCTTCCGGAGCCACAAGGAGACGATGGCATGGTGATCCCCTGGGAGGAACACCAGCAGGGTGAGCAGCTGCTGGTCCCTGGCTCTGCCCCTGCTGAAGTACAACAGAAACACAGGGGGTTAGGGGTCATGAAGCAGCAGGAAAGTCCTGGCCCACCTGAACTTGACGGCCTATCTAAGAAGACAAATATTGAGCAATTTTGATAGGGCTGGGAGAATTGGGGGCTGCCTGAGGGCCCTCTGTAGGAACCACGATGCCCTTGGATTCACTGCTAGAATTGGGCCCAAGCTCCAACGAAGAGCCCTCATTGTTAAAGGGAGCCTAAGACATTCAGATCCTTCCCTTGAAGGTCACTCATCAGTCTAGGTCTCAAGCTTTCCAGGTTTAGAGGAAAACGTCACTTTACATCAGCAGTCCCCAACCTTTTTGGCACCAGGGACCGGTTTCATGGAAGACTACTTTTCCACAGACTGGGGGATGGGAGGATGGTTTTGGGGATGATTCAAGTGCATTACATTTATTGTGCACTTTATTTTTGTTATTATTACATTGTAATATATAATGAAATAATTATACAAACCTCTCTGCTAATGATAATCTGTATTTGCAGCCGTTCCCCAGTGCTAGCATCACCGCCTCAGCTCCACGTCTGATCATCAGGCATTAGATTCCCATAAGGAGCGCACAGTCTAGATTCCTCGCACACGCAGTTAATAGTAGAGCGTGCGTTCTTATGAGAATCTCATGCTGCTGCTGATCTGACAGGAGGCAGAGCTCAGGCGGTGATGTGAGTGATGGGGAGCAGCTGCAAATACAGCTGAAGCTTCACTTGCTCCCCAGCTGCTCACCCTCCTGCTGTGTGGCCCGGTTCCAAAATCTTATTTTGTCATGTAGCAACCACCCAGGAAAACCAAAAGATGTACTAGAAACAGTTTATGGGAAAAAGTGGCTTGAAATGCCTTCCTGTTACTTAGACTGCCCTTCCTAACCCTCTGTCTTTCTTCTATGAATCTGATGTAACTTCATGGAATAAGTTCTTACTGAGATCTACTAGTATAAATGTCTAAAGGCTTCCTATCATACCATTCAGTAGGTTTTGCTCTTCCCGTGAGGATGAAAAATGGCTTTTCATTTTCCATTGTGTGTTCATTCATTCATTTATTCACTTACAGAGAGGACAGTAGTGAATAGGTTCTGTTCAAACTTTGACATTTAAAGTCTGGTGATCTCCAGCAAGTCTTTTACCCTCTCTGAGCCTCAGCTTCCTTATCTATAAAATACAGGTTATAACAATTCATACTCCAACTAGGTTGCTTCTTGAATACATTAAGTTCTTTTCCTCCTCAGGACCTTTGCACATGCTGTAACGCTTTAGAATCTTTCTTTTCTAACTGGTGTCTGTCTTCCTTTTTTTAGACATAAGTCTATACTGTCCAACATTCAATGCACAAGGAGAAAGAGCTGCATGGGTATAAATCTGAGTCAGAATCTAGAACTGAGTAAATATGTATTGAATGAATGACTTTGTTGAATTTTTTTTGAGCATTGCACTAGCTGCTTTATGCCATTTTTTTTTTTCTTTTTTTGAGACAGAGTCTCACTCTTCTGCCCGGGTTAGAGTGCCATGGCGTCATCCTAGCTCACAGCAACCTCAAACTCCTGGGCTCAGGCAATCCTTCTGCCTCAGCCTCCTGAGTAGCTGGGACTACAGGCATGCGCCACCATGCCCGGCTAATTTTTTCTATGTATTTTTAGTTGTCCAGATAATTTCTTTCTATTTTTAGTAGAGACGGGGTCTCGCTCTTGCTCAGGCTAGACTCGAACTCCTGAGCTCAAACAATCTGCCCGCCTCGGCCTCCCAGAGAGCTAGGATTACAGGCGTGAGCCACCGCGCCCGGCCTGCTTTATGCCATTTTAACTTAATAACAACCAAGCATGGTAAGTGTATTTTACAGATGAGGAAGATGGAGATCAAACTCAAGTGACTGTCCAGGTATACGTGGTCTTAGGCGGCAATGCTGGGATCCAAGTCCAACTCTGTGGCTCCACAGGCCCTGCCCTTTCCACTTTGCCATGTCACTCGTCCACTGCCCCAAGGGCTCCTCACCAAGGAGGGCCTTATGCCGCCCCCTCTACCTCTGATGAAATGTGATTTTGCTGCTGCTGAACCAGAGAAGGGCAGACCTTACCATGCTCTTCTTGTCAGCCTTCTGGATGGTGTACCCTGTGATGGCGGCATTTCCATCATCCTTTGGTGGTATCCATGTCAGAGCAACATTCTCTCCCCAGACATCCTCAATCTTCACAAGTTCAGGTGGACCCGGACGGTCTGTCGGATGAATTCATGGTGTCACCGTGAGGTCACTTTCCCTCCCAATCTATACCTTGGTACATGAGGATATTTTTAAATGTCCTCCCCCGGGTTACTGGGGGCAACGCTCTTCCAGACTCTCCCATGGGGGCTTCTGAGACCCTGTGCCTGCCATTAGAATGGAGCCAGGCCAGATCCGGGGGCACAGAATAGCCTCGGCGCTCCCATCAACTTAACCAAAATCCAAAAGCTTTAGCCAGTGGGAGAAGAGTGCTGAGTTTAAAGGGAATGACCTTTCACCCAAGGGGAGGCTTGCCACAGGAAGTTGCCCCTTTGGTTAGAGAACCTCAAGTTTCAGGTTTTATAATAATAAAAATGATTGGAAACAAGCCTTCTCCTAGACCC